CATATACATGTATCATACTTCTGAGCATGCAGAACTGCACCATTCTTTCATCAGATTGATTTAATATTTACTTAATGAGTATTCCAACCTACCAGTTCCGGCACTGTGCGCTCATGGCTGGTCGGCCTACTTGATGCTGCTGTATAGTCCCTCTGACTCTGAGGGGCTAAAAGACAAATAATTCCACACATTGCATGATATTATTTGTACTACATAACATTAAATTATGTGCCACAACACCACAAATTGCAATGATTAGATCATGTGTTCAGTGGTTAGCAAACAAAGTTCAACATATTTCCTCACTCACTTTATCAATGTCTTTCAAAGTTCAAATGTTTTTCAAAGTTTCAAACTTCAAGCTCATTTTGTTTTTTAAAAAGCAGCAAATTTTTGTACATTTAGCAGTGTCTGTTTCCAGGGCTTTCCTCTGTTTTAATTCTGGCTTGCTCTGCGCCACCTTTGCTCTTTTTACTCTTCATCCTTCATAGACCATTGTCCAACTGAGTGTACTGACGTGTTATGTCGGAGAGAAAAAAAGCTGCGAGTGTAGGCGGAGATAGCACAGGGATGGCATTAGCAGCGCAAGTGATCCACCCATGGCTGAACACTGGCAACAAGAAAAAAAATCAACAGCCCTTGCGGCCGAAAAATCAGACTGACCCACCGTGAATTGACCAAGTCCTTCTAATAAGCCAATCTGGGCCTGTGTGGCTCCATTATTGGTAATAAAACATGCATAAAACATTAGTTAAATTTTCAACTGAAATATCTACGCTGCTTATTAACATTTGGTTTAGCTACTATTTAGGACCAATCCTGTCATAATTCAAAATAAATACAGAAATAAATGAAGGACAATAATATGAAACTGGGCTGAAAAAGTTGCTAAAAATATGAATGCCACAAAATAATAAAAATAAGGCTTTTTTAAAAGTTCAGTTAATTGTCTAATAATATATATTTTAACTTCAGCTTTGACTCTTTTTCTTGCTTTTACTCTTATTGATTGTTAACCCTCAAATTTTCTTTCATACATTTTTCTTGAAGTCATTATTTCATGTTTGTGTATTTATTATAAGAGTTTTTTTTGTTCTTGATCCCTACTATTCACTACTGTTGTGAGAGTTTACCAGGAGATCATGAATATGTTAAATAACTACGACTGGAAGTTATAGTTAATTAATAAGTAATTCAAATCCAGGATAAAACTAGTAATTTATTATCAGTTGAATGATTATAACTGTAATTTGCTTACTGACCAGAGTTTTAGCCTCTTACCTACAGTAAAAGGTTGGGCTCCTGAACCTGGCTGTTAAAAATCGTTGTCTTTCACAAATTTAGTAATTTAGACTATGGTTATCAGCAACCTTATTAATCACCAACCTAATAAATGTGTCTCTGTTCATTTGGATGCTACTAAAGGAAGAGTGAATCCAGCCTGAGTGATAAATCATTCACTGGGTAAAATGAACACAAAAGACCACAGGTTAAAAAACAATGGTACCTGTATTGGCTACAATCACACAATATTGTATCTAATAAGTAAGCAAACACTAAACACTACTGAAAATAAGCAAAAACAAAGAAATAAAAGGAGAAGAGGGGTTTAAGAGTCTGTCAAAGTCTGAGGTATGCTCTGGGCCTCACTGATCGAAGTATAAGGCTTAATGCATTGAAAGTGTCCTTTGTAATAGTAGCAGATAAAATGTAAATAAACCCTGATGCAGAGATGTTAAAGGGGAACACCGGTCTTTTTACATTGGCCCCTTGATTTTACGTTATTACATCATGTTCTACTCACCAATATTAGTTTTGTGTCATTTGGAGCTGTTCTGAGGATATTCTGTTTTGTTATATCCAAGTAACATCTTTGTATGGGCAGCGAGTTGAAGGCACAAACTAAACTGTTCATAATTTATTCTGTATCGTACGCCAGTATTCATAACATGTAATCGAATCACTGTCCCCCAGACATCCGCGGTTATATTTTTTTTATTTATATTTTTAAACAAAGCGGGGTGTGTATGACGTCATCCGCGTGCACCGCCTACAATTCATTCATCCTCTCCGTTGAACTGCTGCTAGTTTTACTCACATGAATAGAAGATGTCTAGTGCTACTATCACACATAATCTCGCCCTTGAAATGGAATTGAAAGATTCAGATTAGCTAGCCGAATGAATAGGGCTTGGGATCCGCGTTGCATTGTGGGACGTGGCGGCCATGTTGATGGCTACGCGCACGTTAACATAGCTCTGATACAACATTGTTGAACGAAGAGACGTAGAAGTAGAGAGAAAAAAGATGTTAAAATCCTGAAAAGGATCTAGAATTTACCGGGACACATTAAATAGAGAAGCCAGGGACCGGTATGTTGAATGGATGGGTTCAGGAGCTGCAGATCATAAAGCCAGCAAACAGTGGAAACACAGTAATCCGTAATAAAGGTAAGCTGTGCTCAGACGGGCTCTGGAACCTGCTAGTTTAGTAACTGCTAACCGCTAATGCTAACAACCACTCACGCATGTAATGTACTTTTAACTAACTTCTATGTGTTTCAAAGGTGTAGTTAGTAACGTTAACTGCCAACCCTCCCTAAACCCTCTGGGTTTGTCACATATTTGAGCCTTTTGCCGCTACCGTTTTTATTATTTTTCCGTAAAAGATCCCAACCTTTGCGTGATGTCCTTTTTAAGATAACAGCGTGGTTGTGCATCTTTATCTTACCAAAATGAAAATGCAGGGAACACACTCTCATTGACATCGGGATACTGTGGAAAGTTATGTTCGGTCGTCTTACAGCCACGATCCAAGCTAGCCGACGTCTTTGTTATCTCTGACACTTGGTCTCTGTGGTTGCGCCTCCAGACAGAAAAGCGGTGGAAAGTTAACCCATTTTCTGTTTTTCCCATGGC